TCATGAATTATTTCTGATTACAAGAACCCCATTCTGTATGGATGGTAGCTAACTGGATTTGAAATTGCTTAACATGCGGCATCATCAAGATCATGATTCATGAAAGGATCAAAGGGTTACATTATTTTCTAATAAAATAATACCATATACGTAGTTTAGTAGTGGAGTTGGCATGTGAATTGGATATTTCCATTATTTTTTGAAGTAGTTTGGTGTGTTATGGTGTGTTAATCGCATGAATCCAATCTATAACTACACTTAAAAGAAAAATGGCCAACAAAAACCTAAATATCTTAATAATACTTTTTTTTATTAAAAATAAAATATTTTAATTTTAAATTACATAATATAAAAATAAAATAAAATGAAATAATAAAAAATTTATCTCTCTTTATGTAATATAAAATAAAAAAATAATCTATTAATACCTTTAACCTTTGATGTACATATGTATTTAAAATTAATAGTATGCATAACGTACCGACACATACTTGAGTATATTCCCCACACTTGATGACTTAAAGTCTGTTTGATCTTCAACTCTATGTGAAACTGCTGTCCAGTAATAACTAATCAACCTCTTTGAAACTGCATTTTAATGTCAATTAATAGCCTTTTGTGAGCAGCCACTTTTAAGAACAATAATTGCCTTTGGGTAAGCTAAAGCTGCATACCTAATACGATTAATTCAGATTGAAGTTCCCTAACAGCAACTTGTACAAGATAAAAATAAAAATAAAAAAGGACTTGAGGATTGAGGCTTCTTGGCCAAAATAAAAAGAAAAAAGACTTAGGCTTCGTTTCATTTTATTGTTGATGCTAGTTTTGTTCTTTTGTTACCAAACTAAAATTGACGGAACTTTATTAAAGGAGGTAGTTTAACAAGTTAAGAGTTTAAAATTTTAAATTAAAATTTTCATATTTAAATTTTAAATTAAAATTTTCATATTTAAATTTTAAGTCAAATAAGAAAGAATTTGAAAAAAAAAAAAGAGAAAGCTCTCTTTGATATTATCCATCATCAATTTTACAAAAACTAATAAAATTGATGAACTTTTTACATAAATTAAAATTTCAAAATTGATAACTAAAACCGAAACCCTACTCATTTTTGTTTTTAATTTAATCAATTTGATTATTTCATATGCCTCAAATTAAAAGGTAATTCAACTTATGAAAAATTGTAAAACTCCATTTTGGAGATCTCAAACTCATACATTGAGTAGAACAAGAAGTTTTTATCCACCGATTTATCTAACCTTGAGAACACGAGGACCAGGCGATCGAGGCGGCTATTATCGAGTACAATATATATATATATATATATTTTATAGGATACTATTTGTTTGGGTAAAATGATTTTGAAATAATTTTTTTATATCATTTTTTGATATAACTTATCATGTTATTTAAATAATTAATTATTTTTTTTCATATAAAACTCATAATATTAAATGTATTCACTTATTTAATGATATGTAAAAGTTGTATTAAAAGGTGGTATAAAAATATTGTCTCTATAACACTGCCCAATTATCTCATATAAAAAGGACAAATTTTCATCTTTGTCTAAATTCAGAGAGATAAAGATCCAAGAATTCATAAAATGTATAAAATGAAGGGAAAGGGATAGAATAAGAAAGATAGGAAGGATTGAAAAAAAAATGTTTTTATAAAGGTGCCACTCAATATTCAAAACAAAAAATCTGATTTGAATTTTTGCTCTTTTCCCGTAGGGTTTACATTGCCCTCGGAAGTCATGAATTATTTCCTACTACAAGAACCCCGTTCTTTATGGATGGTAGCCAACTGGATTTGAAAATGCTTAACATGCTGCATCATCTAGATGATTCATGAAAATAATACTATATACGTAGTTAAGTAGTGGAGTTGGCACGAGAATTGAATATTTCCATCATTTTATGTAGTAATTTGGTGTGTTTTGGTGTGTTAGTCACATGAATCCAATCCATAACTAGACTTAAAAAGAAAAATTTGCCAACAAAAACCTAAATATCTTAATAATAATTTTTTTATTAAAAATAAAAAATTGTAATTTTAAATAGCATAATATATAAATAAGATAAAATTAAAAAAGTACCTTTTATTATGTAATATAAAATAAAAAATAATCTATTAATACTACTAACCTTCAATGTATATATATATTATATTATATAAAATTATAGTAACCTGCATAAGTAATAGACACTTGAGTGTACACCCATACTTAGGACTTGTTTGTTTTATATTAGGGTTAGTAGATCTTCATGTAGTTTTGGCTACTAAAATAAAGATGAGTTCTCCATGTCAACTCCTTGTCTCAACAATTACATGCCATGTAGCGTGTCCACTATAAAGACATGACCCAAGTCTTATATGAGTTGTAAAGACATATGTTAAATGATGTGTAAATTACATGAAAAGAGGAAGACAAAACTTTAATGAATGCTTAGAAATTGATGTTAATTCCGGGTCAAATAAACCAATAAATCGTGTAATACAAGGGCTTAAAGTCTCATATATATTTAAGTATAGGGGCAAAAGGCCATAAACCATACCAGCTGAGGAGCAATTTAGGGGATTATTCCCATAAAATCCTCAGAAAGAGTAAAAAAGCGATGCGGTGTTTCTTATCCACGGATCTACCACACCTTGAAAACACGAGGACCAGGCAGCCATTATTGGCTACAGTATTTTTTTTTTTTTTTAAATGCTATTCTTTGTCTGT